CATAATAATGATACTAATAATGATCAGCATAATAATAATGAGGATAATAATAATGACGATGATAATGATAATAATAATGGTAATAATGATGATAGTGATAATAATAATGATGTTGATAATAATGATGTTGATAATAATGATAATAATTATAATAATGATGATGATAGTGATAATAATGATGATGATAATTAGGATGATAATAATAATGATGATAATGATAATAATAATGATTATAATAATGATAATAATGATGATAATGATAATAATAGTGATAATAATAATGATGATAATAATAATAATGATGATTATGATAATAATGATGATGATAATAATAATTTTCTTAATGGAATCGCAAATTTTAAGCACTGCTTTTATATCAGAAAAATAATTTTTAAGCGTATTCTCCAATTGTTCATTTTAATGCTACATACATTTCATGAAAATTGATTAAACTGATTGATTGATGGTTATGATAAGTGTTGAATAATTTTTAGTCAAGAGATGTTCAATTTCTCGACAATTTTATGGTCAAGGAATAAGTCAATGATTGTCAGACTGACAACAGACATCTAATGAATTGTTTATCCCATCATTATGAAGGTTAATCGGCTGATTCGATTTAATTACATAACGGGAATTGTGTTTCTCTTAATTAAACAGTTGTGGGAATTTAACCTAATTAACGGAAACTTAAACCTTTAATACTGCATTTAAAAGTACCTTTTCGATTTAAGGTATTCAAATATACGCTCCTAAATTTGGTCCTTAAATCATGTGTAAATTTGAGATTAAATATACTGATCTACATATACCTTTCACGGGCACGGTTCTTGTAAAAATCTTTGAAATATATATCCTAGATAGTGTCAGGTTACAGTTCGTGACATTATAACTGACAGAACTTAATCGTCAATGTTGATATTATTTTTCGAAGTCAGTGGCAAACCCCAATATATTTAAGATTTTTAAAACTATCTAGGATATATATTTCAAAGATTTTTTATCATAACTAATACACGAATTATAAACGGCTGTTCGTCAATTCACTAACTGTTATTGCTCTTTCTAGCATTGATAGATGTTTCCTTCCTAACATTTTACTCGAAGTAGGATGAAGAGGCAAAATCTTGATTACGTCACTATTCTTACTTGAAGTTACATTATGCAGGTGTCGAAAGTCAAATGATGCAGTTTCTTTTATTTCATACTGTTCCTTGGGTGTGATTTTGTAGTGTCAGTCCACGAGGTCCTCATTAATACCCAGTCTTCATTTTCTCGAAGCCATTTTTATCAATTCGAGAAAACTTAAACAAAATGGTCTCTCCATTTTCTTTAAGTTTTCTCGTATGCCCAGCCCGATAGACGCAATACACACTAAGATAAACTAAAACAGGGCGTTTATTTAAAAAAAAAAAAGAGAGTATCCACTAAAAATAACGTGTAAATTAATACAAATGTTGGATTAAATATAAATGCATTAATTCTTTCAAAGCTTAATCTAACAATTTGATAATTTTGCTGTTACACCCGGTATATATATATATATATATATATATATATATATATGTAGGATAGTTGTATATATATATATATATATATATATATATATACTAGCAGCATGGCCCGGCGTTGCTCGTGCTTGATTCAAAAATCGTACGACTCATACAACAATCGCTATCACTTGACATATAATATTTTTGCCCTTCCTTGCCTTTAAAGGAGTGCCCTTTGCCGTGTTGATGTTGCTACATGCCTTACTTCTTGCCTATCTCACACTGCGATTTTTTCTAAGCTCTATACTAAACATTAAATCTGTTACGAAAAAAGAACTAAACAAAATGATCACAAAACGATCAGCTTTAAAAAAGGACTCGTAACTGGAAAAACCGAATGAAAAAAGAATGTTAACAACAAATACTTTTTCACACCCAACCAGTTCTGCGGAATCAGAATCAACGTTGAGTTTAAGCAAGCGAATGAGACAATTGGAGTAAAGTGCCATGCAGATTTAAATTTTTCCCACTTGTGGCGAATGCAGCTATCGATTTTTTTTGTATGCTAGCATGCTAGTTAACATTCATGTCAGTCAGCTGTTGGCTCTCACGCTGACCAATAGAATCTTCCTGCCTATTTGTGGCAGCCAGCTACAGGCTCTCACTCTGGCCAGTAGAAAATGGCTGCAAACTACATGAAAACTGCCGTAGAAGCATAAAAAAATCGATGATTTCCACTATCGATGGGAGTAGGGAAATGCAAAGTCGGTCTTGGCCTTCCCACTAACTTGGAGCATGCATGTAAATTCTGGTGCAAATCCGTCGAAAATTGCGGCCGTGTATTCGTTACACGCACACACACACACACACACACACACATACTGCCTTATATATATATATATATATATATATACAACTATCCTACACCATGAAAACAGCAAAATTAGATTACAGATACTAGAAGAAATTTATATTTAGCTTACATATACTAAAAGCAATTTATAATAAAAAATTAAAGCTGACACTGAAGAGAATCAACTATGAATGCTGCAGTAGTGTTCTGAAATGCCTATAAAGGAACAATTTTTCACGCTTTAATGCACGCATGGCCATGACATTATAACATGGAGAGAAAAAAATTCTATAATGGATAATTTTTTCATGTTCTAATGAAACCTCAGCACATTGTCAACCTTTTTGCATTTAAAGCATAATGGAAAAATTACGGTAATGGATAACAACGCACAACTTTGTATAAATACTTATATTAATGAACAACATATAATTTTTTTTATTACTTGCATCCCTGAAGATGATCTTGGCAAAAGATCGAAAGTACTTGAGAAATGAAAATAAAAGAAATTTAAACAGCTATAGCACATTTCTCTCATCCTTTAACATCCACACACGGAAGGTTATTCGTGAGTATGAACGGATTTTGTTAAAAATTAGCAGACATAATTTCTGTAATTTATTTAATCAGACATGCCTAAAAGAGAATTTGCTACCTAAATGCACACAGACACACACACACACACACACACACACACACACACACACACACACACACATATATATATATATATATATATTAGTTGCGTTTTGAAATATTCTAACGAGCGTTTCGGGTACTGCTCAACATTTACGATTTATAGAAACGGTTTACATCAAGCTTCATCGATCGGACTTTGTGCTGGAATGTCTCATGGGTGAAATTCTTTTTTCTGTTTTATACTCACTAATAGCATATTTACATCAATTTATTGTTTTAGTAATAATTATTTTTTTCGTTGTTTCCCGACGCCCAGGGAACTTTTTCAATTTCACCATTTATGATTATGTTTTTTTTTGTTTTTTTTTTTGTTCGCCAACGTATCTTTTTGAAGTAGTGTTGGATGAAAAAAAGTTCCTTTTTAAAGAAAAAGAATGCGCTCCATCATTTTTAAAACAATACATAAATTCTGTCGTATCAAATTTTGGCTCAAATATCTATCTATCTATCTATCTATCTATGAAGAAATATAGTTTTAAGGTATGCTGTATTTATGGAATAAAGTGCTCAATATCAGAGATAGAGCGTATATAAATATAAAAGTGAACATTGAAGTCAAAGTCAAAAAACGTCAGAGGCGACAGCATGAAACAGCCTGTCGCTTCTAAGTATTGACTTCAATGTTCACTATTATATTCATATATATATATAAATATTTTCATAGCGTCTGATCTGACGAGCTATTTTCACTGGCTCCCCAACCGCATGAATTTAAGCGTGCTACTAGGTTGGCATCTAGGTCCCACTTTTTTACTGTCGAAACAGTTACATGTATTTTCCTCTTCTACTCCTCCTCCTTTCTTCTTTTATCCGTTCCTCCACCTCACCTCTATACCAAGTCTTTTCCTTTACTTACACTATCCTGTAACCCCTTACGTATTAGTGGCACTCCTGCCTTGCTTGGGGTGAAATGCTTAATATATATATATATATATATATATATATATATATATATATAAAGTCTAGGTACCATAGCGAAGAGTCCATCCGAACAATTACCATAAAAGTATTTATAGAAATGTTACGGGGAGGCAACCTTACGGCTTTGGGAAAGCGAGTGAAGCCGAGCTGCCAGATGAGTACCGATATTATTACAGATTCTTCTTTGGATTCTATCAAAGAGCTCAAGGTAACTAGCAGGGGTACCATACCATATGTGGCAGCAATATTCTAAGCATTGACGAATGGTAATTATACATATGTAAGATTCTAGAGAGAAAGGGAGAGAGAGAGAGAGAGAGAGGGGGGGGATTAAATTAATCGTAGAAGATCATGCAAAAGGAAAACAAATCCACAGACAGACTGTTTTGCAGTACTTCAATGTGCCTAGACGTCCGATTGCTTCAAACCGGGATCGAAACTCGAGCGATTTGTCATTAGTCAGAGATCCTACCCTTAAGCCATCGGCGCCAGGCGGAGAGGGCGGGAAATTTTAGCGTTTTCTATACCAAATACGCCAGTAGCTAAGAGAACTTAATTCGTACTTGAAAAAATCCGGTCTACAACCGGATATAGATACCATTTTGAGAGCGAGAGATGTGCGTGCATCGCTAAAGTATCAAAGGAGTGGCACAGAGCCATTTCGGAAGACGAAAGACGTACACACACACACACACACACACACACACATATATATATATATATATATATATATATATATATATATATATATATATATATATATATATATATATATATATATATATATAAAAGGCTTAAACACTAATATTCCGTGGTCATAATTTATTCCATTGGAATCGTAAATACGATCCAATTCATCACACCTACAAATTCAAAAAGAAAACATAATAATTAATATTATCTCTCTCTCTCTCTCTCTCTCTCTATATATATATATATATATATATATATATATATATAGAGAGAGAGAGAGAGAGAGAGAGAGAGGGGGTGAGGGAGAGGATGAAACTGATAAGAAAGAGCAGTAGTATCACGTATAACCAAAAGCAAGAATTGGTGGGGTGAGAGAGAGAATGGTATTAAGCAGAGAAGGAACAAAAACAAAGACTGGAAGATAGGTAGATAGATAGAGCAAGAGAGAGAGAGAGAGAGAGAGAGAAGAATGGCAGTTATGGCTATTGATAACTGAGAGTCAATTTATGGTAGTCAATATCTAACGCCGTACGAAGCAAATGGCGAAAGAAAAAAAAAAGTTCACGAAAGAAATTGAATGAAAGAGAGAAAGAAAAAAAGAAGGAAATCATGAGATATTAAATGAAGTCGATTCTACCATTGAAATAATCAAATTACGAAGCCTTTAGACGTGAATGACAAAATCCGGTCGACTACCGGATATAGACACCATTTTGAGAGCGAGAGATGTGCGTGCATTGCTAAAGTATCAAAGGAGTGGCACAGAGCCATTTCGGAAGACGAAAGAAATCCTGCAAATGACACAAATTTCGAATCAATGACAGTTGACTGAGGTATTCGCTGATTGATGCCATGTAGAGGTTGGCGAATCGGGACAGTTTTCATCGCAAATACTTTACTGGAACCAATTCTCAAGAAGCATGCAGGTTTTATTTGACAAGGCAATGAATTGATTGATACGCACCGGTAGTGTTAATGAAAACTGCTGAGGAATCAGTTAATATCTTCGGATCTTAAATCAATAAAAATGCAAGTAAAACATTTCTGTTATGGTGCTGAACAATGTACATACACCTGCAACCTTTCATCTCATATACGCAACAGTCAGTTATGTGCCTTGCGTGATACGCGCATAGGCGATCATATATCTTTCGATACATGACTGACGAGGCAGATTTTGGTGTTATAAAAAGGACTTCAAATATCCGCCTTATACGCTTTTTTTTACTGTTACCTGTTGATTATTACCTGACAGAAAGAGAAATTAGCCCTCACCACACAAATGTCCATTTCAAATGTCTTCAAATTGTGCGTGTATGTACGTTCAACCGCCTCTTGGCTTTTTTTTTAACTTAAAATATTAGCATGTCAGATATTTACATGGTGTGCAGGATCATGCAGGTAGCAAAAACTTTAAAAGATGCTAAATATATGTCGATGTCAGATGATACACAAGAAAATACCTTCCCATGAATGACAGTAGAATATTGTTCAAATTATTAATCTAGCTCCAATAGACTGTTTCTACTACTTTACTTTCAGGTCAGTCAGTTATATGCCATGCGTGATCCACGTTTAGGCGATTATGTATCTTTTCGATACATGACTGACGAGGCAGATTTTTTTTCATCACGCAGTAGGTTGCCATTTCATTCTGCGGTAGACCAGTTGTCATCCAAGGCTATAGAACCCGGTCTGTCCTGCTACTTAACCATGGCTAGGGGGGAGAGTAGAGGATTCTATACCTTTCCCAACGCTATTAGCAAGTAAGTGAATATAATGGATTCGACTGGAATTCGAACTCGGCTCTCCGATTCCTCAATCCATGCCGCTATCTCGCTTTATGAATGAAGACTATGTAGTCTGACATCCACTTCATTGAGTAGAAAACAAGCCTTTACAGACCAAGCAAGATTCTTCCGGTGATATAAGTGTGCACACTGAAGACTGTTTTATGTATGTATGTATATTATATCACTCCAAGCAAGGCGAGAGTGCCACTAGCACACAAGAGGTTTATTATATCGACCACATAATATCATTATGTCTACCACAGTACTTAAACTAACAGTGATAAGAAAGAATAAAGCTCACTGTGAGATAATAATACTGAAAATATTTCATTTTAAAACTTAAGATATTAGCATGTCAGATATCTATATGGTGTAAAGGATCATACAGGTAGCAAATGCTTTAAAAATGCTAAAAATATCAGATAATGCTCAACAAAATACCTTCCCATGAATGACAGAATATTGTTCAAACTATTACACTGGCTCCAATGGACTGTTTCTACTACCCTACTTTCAGGTCAGTCAGTTATATGCCATGCGTGATACGCGCGTAGGCGATCATGTATCTTTCGATACATAGCTGACTACGCAACAGTAATCGTCTTAAATCATTTGAAATCTGAGATAAAGCATTTTCGTTACTAATTTTCGACTTTTCATTTCTTCATCTTGTTTTTTAATCACAACTTTCAAGATCGATTATTCCCCCGACATTTAAATTAAGGTCAAGAGACACGGAGACAAATGCCGTAACGAACCGAACTAGTTGGGCGATTATCTGCAGTTTGAGGTTAGTTGTGTGACGGAATTCTTAGTTTTTATTTACCGAATACATTGTAATAAAAAGAACTGACTCAAGGGCATGATTTATAATACTATATTTTTAATTATTTGCTCACGCGTGAGTCTTTTGATATTCGGTGTAGTAAAAATTTTCTTTTATAAGGCGGATATTGATCGCAGTCGGGTGAAATATCTGTTCCAGCTCGGTAGAGGATAGTTTCAGTGTCAGACCGTGCTGCTAGGAGTACGTATGTATGGCCACTCGTATTCGAAGATACCAGTCTACTGGTGGGGGGGGGGTTGCTAGACAATCCCTATTGCAGACGCTTGCTCTGGTGCATTTGTGTTTATTCCTCACCCACAGAGCCCACCTGTGGTTTATACTGCAACTATATCGAACAGACCTTAGTTACAGTTTCTGGGAAAGAGCGTGTTATCTAGCGTGATCGACAATCTGAACAAGGCGAGCACGCTCAAGCCCTTTGCCATGATGACTTCGTGCTAGCACAGCTATCGAGGGCTCCAAGGGTTCTATCTACCCAATTTTACTCACAAGGCTTGGGCCAACCCGTGGTATGGTTTTCAGGCGCTTTCCAAAGGTGCCGCACGCTGGGGTCGACCCCTCCAATCCGATAACATCATTTGAAATCTGACAAAATCGACCTTGGTCAGCATAGGAACGTTTTACCCACAAGGCCACTAGTGGGAGTTGTCATTTTAGAAATAGGCTAGTGTCAACTTACTGTGTTTTTCTTGGCCCTAAGAATGCCAAAATATCAGCTGACCTTTTAACTACTTCATACGTCACGCATCACTAGTCTCCCTAACAGTTGCGATCAAAGTAGGAGATAATAAGAATAGGAAAGAAATATTCGAAAGAGGAGGGAGAGAGAAAGAGAGAAGGAGAAAGGGCGAGAGTGAAACTCAGAGGTTTAAGCTTATATCCTTTTGACCAAGTTTTGAAACTCTGGCGTGAACCTTGGTTTCGGCTAACATCAAAAACCTATTTGCGTTATTTTTTTTGATTGGTCCAAATTATTTTATTTTCCGGCATTCCTTTTTTTCCTTTTTTATATAACGGAAATTATGCGTGGAGCTTGTCTTTAATATGAATGAAATGTCAAAAAAAAAAAAAAAAAATTTCAGTTATCTGTTTTGGATAAGACTTGTTTTTATGTCCATCGTCTTTGTCAAGTTGAACTGATTATGTTAATTGTATTTTAATGAATATTGTCCTGAAGAAGGTTTATTAAACCGAAACGTCAGACGTTGACATTTCATTCATATTAAAACAACATAATTGCATTTAAAGATTTTTGTTTGTTTTTTCCAAATATTTTTCTTCATTCTGTCGGATCTATATCCATTTATATTTGCTTACATATATATATATATATATATATATATATATATATATATATATATATATATATATATATATATATATATAATGCAAATTATTTTCAGATAGAATATATTTATAAAGGAACAAAATGAATAAAAAGAGAATAAAAATTAACCTTAGCCAACGCGTTTCGTCCTCTTAATGAAGTCGCTCAATGGACGACACGCGTCAGCTAATAATAGTTTTTCCTCTTGTCATTTTATTCATTGTTATACACGCATGACATTCATATGAAAATCTGGATATGTCGAAGCTATTTAAGAGCATGAATAGAGTTTTTATGTCAATAATTTTGGTTTTGTTGTGCGAAGCTACTTTTCCTTTTTATGTGCTGTGTCCCTTCAGGACGTAGGCGATCATGGCGCTCCACTTCCCCCTATCCCTTGTAGCTCTCAATAAGTTTTGTCCCATTGCTACTATCCCCCCATGCCATGTTTTGTCATCCACTTGCTTATTATGCCAGCTTGGAAAAGACTAAATAGATAGTGGCTCTGCTTTCTTTTATTTTAATGGAAGGACGAGTAAGGGCAAGTAACGACGTCTCATCCACAAAATGAAAACTGTTTTGTAACTTCAATTTAAAGAATCATTTTCGATACGAATATATTACATTTATTTATTGTCGTCTTTGATAATTTGAGAATTTCGAAGCGAACACTTTATTCAATTCAGGTAAACTGACTGTTCTCATTCCCCTGTTCATGTCGTAGTAGTTAATTCTTCCAAGTTAATTCGCTTTTATTTTACCGATTCTGTTCGTTCGACTGAAGCAGAATATATGGAGTCCAGGAACTAAACTTCACAAGCATAAAAATCAGGTAGTGGGATTTTAAGGCCTTAAATCCAATGTGATGTACTTGTCTACAAAGTAGTTTACATACACATAAATTTGCAACAAGAACGTGTTTAATATTTTAGAATAGTTGATTAGTTGATGCTTTGAATTGATTAGTTGATGCTTTAAATTGAACTTACAAAATAGATTTCACCGTTTTGTAGGTGATCTGGCATTGCAAAGGAAATATTTGTCGCAGATTACTTCCACAACGCAGAGAATAAATCACTGTAAGTTCAGACTCAAACATCGGGGGCAGAAAGAAATGCCGAAAACACGATTCGCAGGTACTATCTCACAATGCACGCAACCAGTCAGAAAAATAACTCACTCTCCAACAAACATGGTAGCCAAACTACCCCAATTTTATTTTCTCTTTTGCTTTTATCGTCCGAGCATTTTTTTCATTCGTCGACAACTAGGGGAGGACGCTCAATTTTTGCATATCAAAATACTTTTATAGCGACTGACTTGTTTCTAAAATATTTCGTCTTCAACATGTCATGCGGAATACGTGAACCCCCCTTATTTTTGGTAAGTAATTTTCTTTTTCGCCACATATTCCGTCGTAGGATACACGCTGTCGCTTGGTTTGACGAGGTAAGTCGCCGTTTTCTTCGCTGTAGACTAATAGGTCTTTAGCTGCCCTTTCAATAAATAATATCACACTGTTCGTATTTATTAAAAAATTATATTTGATCATAACCAAGTGTAAACGGGTGAAATGTATTGAAAAAGTAATAATTTATCTGTCTTGGTGTATTGAAGTCATGAAAATAGAATATTCTGTCAGTTTAAACTTAATAACTAAAACGCCATAATTTATGTCTTAAATTAATTTTTAGCTTCACAGACTTTTCGCACGGGAATGGGGGGGGGGAATTAAATCTTTAAATTAAGCCACAGGAGATTTGTAAAGACAGTACCTCCTCTTCGGATGAGACTAAGGTGTCTTTAAAACGTGAAGTGCCAAGAGAATGGGTCTATTTTGGACTGTCTCCCACTTTAAACTCAACTTGGTCCCACACTCGAGTTCAAGTGGGCGTGTAGGTAGTTTTAAATCTCAGAT